TTTTTATTAAAAGTTGTAGTAAAATATGCCTTTTTATTTGGAAAAATGGAATATTTGCTTCGACAAAAACTGATCACAAAAATATTTAATTTTTTCAAAAAGACTATACTGTTTGCATCTAAACAAATCTGATATGGATTGTAAAGTAGACAGCAATGCTGGCGGAATGATGATCCCAAAAAGATATCCAAAGTTCAAATTGAACTAGCATACACTGACAATTGCATTTATGACCCTCAGTATACAATCAAACCAAGTATTTACAAGCCTTGAAGATAACAATTGAGTCAGAATTACCGACAAGCAGGCACTATTTGAACCGCTCAACGAGCAGTCGTTGAAAAAGAATATGCATTGATGTAAAATTAAATTTTAATAGAATAAAAATGTTAATGTTTTAACAAATGAACAGGACATTAAAAATGCATGCACATAGAAGTTGGCATTATAAAGACGGCAAAGTAAAACTAAGTAAAGCAAACCCATTAAAACCAGCAAAATAATCTGAACGCAAATTCCAAAAAATGGGAGTTTCCGTTTATGCTGTCCTTATTGTTTGGTTAGTAAAAAATAAAAAAAGATGCCGAGAAAGGTGTACACCACAGGTAACCGCGTCTTATCCACAGTAAAAGAATGTACGCAACTAAATTAGTAGTCATTAATTAATTAATTACGGCATGGTTGCACAAACTGAGATGCTCAGACAGTAGGTCATATTACAAGGTGAGCACACATCGGTGGAGTAAGTGTCCAGAACTTATACAAAAAGAAAGAAGTACTTGATCACAACAAAGTGTTCTTTTAAGCAAAGCATTGAATTTTTGCGTAGGTTATTACAGTCATTTGCTAACTAATTGTAGGAAATGATATAAAAAGTGTGCAGATAATATAGTGTACCTGAAATCACTGACTGAAATCATATTATTCGCCAATATACTTTGGAGCGCGCTTCTCTTTGAAAGCAGCCAATCCTTCAACGCGGTCCTTGGTGACCAACACCTGTTGATAGCAGGCAGCTTCGATGGCCAAGCCAGTGTTGATGTCCACGTCAACGCCACGATTTATCGCAGTTTTGACAGCGCGAAGGGCAACTGGACCAGCAGACAGCATTTCTCCGGCAAGAGACACCGATCGTTGATAAGCAGCATCGTTCGTCTCGTTCTGTGGCACTGTGTAGTTGACCAGGCCGTACTCGAGGGCCTGCGTTCCGTCAAGGATTCTGCCCGTGAATATGAGCTCCTTGGCAATGTGCCGAGGAATAATGCGTGACAGGCGCTGCGTTCCACCGGCACCAGGGATGATGGCCAGTTTAGTCTCCACCAGACCGAGCTTGGCATTAGTCGAGGCAACTCGCAGATCTGCAGATAGTGCATACTCAAGTCCGCCGCCAAGAGCGGCGCCATCGATGGCTGCAATAGTGGGAAACGGAAAATCGTAAATTGCTGAAGAGATTGAGCGGAGCTTCGCCACAAAGTGCGGAATCTCTTTGATGTGCATAGTTGCGCGTTCCTTGAGATCCGCACCAGCGCAAAAGATGCCTGGCACCACAGAACGAATAATCAAAACGCGCAACTCTTCATCTTTGCCCAGCTGGTAGAGACTTTCATTGAGAGCCCGAGCCAACGACCTGCTNGCCTGGCACCACAGAACGAATAATCAAAACGCGCAACTCTTCATCTTTGCCCAGCTGGTAGAGACTTTCATTGAGAGCCCGAGCCAACGACCTGCTCAGAGAGTTGGCCGCTTTGGGGCGATTCAGCGAAAGAACCTAAAATAATAAAAAAATGTTGAATTAGAATGTCATGAAATGATGATAATGTCTATTGTATTTTGGCACGACAAAACGTACCACAATGCCAGAGTGCTTTCCAGACAGCCGGCTCATGAAAACCTCATCATCCGGATGAGAGTTTTGGGTTGTGGCAAAGTTTAGATTGCGAGTTTGATTCTGGAGCAAACTTTGACCTTTGAAGGCAAACGCATTGCCGGACTGGCCATTGCGAAGAAGAGAAGAAACGAAGGGGGCACGAAGCGATCGAAGTACGACAAAACTCATTTTGATTCTGAATCAGTTTTGTCAGTTGTCAGTTGGGAAATATTCTGTAGAATAAAAGATTCAGACTGTCATTGTGTTCGGCCGATGCAAACTGAACGTACTCGAACTCACCTGTAAGCTGGGGACAGTGTCAATGTGAAGAGGCAGTTATTTATCTGGCAAAATCGACCAACAGCGGCATTCCTTGCACCTAATGTGGACGTCCTTGAATGTCATCAAAATCACAAACGTGAGTAGGAAAGCCAATGCAGTCTTGAATGTAAACACGAGGCTGCTTTCGCTGGTGGAGGCAGGGCATAGTGAACTGAAATGCTCTCTGCCGATTTCGCCATGACTAAGGGGGCACAAAGCGTGCTCCCCTGCCCCTGATGCACTGCCCAACAGTGCAAGTTGAGGCTGACATTGTCTATGTGAATTGGATGTCAGTGCCTACCTGTGTCTGCTTTAACCAGGTCGAAATTCGGCAGTTTGAAGTACACTAGGTAACATTTGAAAGATGTTCCGCCTCCAACCGAGGCATCTTTTGCGCCATTTCACCCAGCAAAAAATGGCAGCAATTGTCATGTCTCTGCCGCCGCAGCAGCCGCTGCAGCAACATCTCTGTTTGCAATCAACAATGAGTTTCAAATATCCTAGAAAGCACATTTTGCCAGGTATTTTGGTAACAACATTTGATTACCTAAAATATAATTCAGTTGCTTAATCTCTTCGGTAAGTCACTTGATACGATTACTTAACCATAAATAGAATAGCACTAATTGCCCCTTATATAAGCAACTGAAAGAGTGCAGAAGAAGAGCAATAGTGTATGCTCCCATCGAGTTGCCACTGACAGTGCACAATTCCTTTTGAAAACACTACACAAGAAAAAAGACGATATTCTCGACAGCTTTCAGTTTTAGTGTAGGCAATAATATATTTTGATGTTGCAATGCTAAACCAACTTTTCCATAAAAGGAAAAATGACTCTCAAAGGGTGTCTCGCTCAGTTATACACACGAGGGTAAGTGTTACCTCAATCGCCTACGAGTACGCTAAACTAGAATTACATTTGGAAAGGTTCAAATTCAGTGTCAACAGTGTTTCTGGCAAAAAGTGACTTCGAGCAGTTTCAGTGCGGTGATGCGCCGCTGGACTGCTGGGCGGAACACTCGAGAACGTTTNACAGTGTTTCTGGCAAAAAGTAACTTCGAGCAGTTTCAGTGCGGTGATGCGCCGCTGGACTGCTGGGCGGAACACTCAAGAACGTTTCCAATCAGCAACCAATTCAGCTAAATTGCGTAGGCACTAC